CTGATGGATCCCCTTTTGCATTCCTCAGATGCTCCTCCCCACTAAAAAGGAGACTATGAATTGAGATAAAGGAAGAAAGAGAAATACATACTTGTAGCAAACCCATACCCAACTGAGTAGCCTCAGCTGGCTACTAAACACTACGCTTTATTGTTTAACTTTTTGAAATCCAACAATTTGGGCCACATCACCTCCTTACCTGCTGCCACCACACAGAACTCTGTCCCAGAGAACACTGTACACACTTGTCTTCAAAATATAAAGTATGTGGTCACCACCCATGTGAACCAACAGTGACTTCCGCAGAACGCCAGGGGTTAGCTCTAGGCCTCACCCAGAGGCCGTTCCTTAGTGGGATGGAGAGTAATCACGGTCTATGTTCTGAAGTCCCACGTGCCTCTTCTTCAGGGAGCAGACCCAGTGGTCATTCAACGTTACAAAGACTGTAGTCACTGAAGCCACTGTTGCTCTCAGATCAGTGTCCCAGACTGGGTCATTCCACCTTGCTAGCACGAGAATCAGAGTGGAGGAGGCAGGAGCATTCTCTATAGAAGTCAGTGGTAGAAACAGGTGCCCAGGATATCCATGCACACGGCAGCCCAGCTGACTCCTGAAAGCATCTTGAGGCAAATGGAGAGTGAGGGCTTCTGCTGCTGATCTTGGTCTTGTCAGCCCCACCTGGCAACTGGGTCTTCAGGTGGGAGAGAGAAATGGGGCTAAGCAACCGTTTCATTTGGGTAGGTGGGGCCTGAGTCATGAAAAAAAGCCTGTAAAGGTTAGTAATTCCTATATTTAATTGTTGTTCAAGTTTACAGTTCTGACAAGCTCAAAATTATCCTGAACACATGAAGCACTTTGCTATTCTTAGAGTTTTTTCAGAGAGAAAATGTAGCCCACTTTGCGCTAGGACAGCACTCTGCACAGAGTACACTAACTTTCTATTTCTTGAACACATAAAGGTATGCATCCTATCCAGAATGCTATTTATACAAGCTGTCCTCAATTCCCCAAGGCAGTTTTTGTTTGAGGCACAATCTGAATGTGGACTTTGGGGACAGTACTCTGAAAATACTCATTTGTATCCACAGTCCCTCAGCCACGCTTTCCATGTTGCTGTGTTTGAGTGTCGAGGGTCACTGCCTCCATCACTCTCTTTTAGAACCGCATGAGACTACATTTCTTTCAAACGTAAGAAACACACGGTCTTTCTCCGGCACCAGGCTGACACTGCTCTTCGCCTCTTCTCTCTCATCCACAGCAGGTCATGCCCTGATCTCCACTGTGTCATCAGGCCCGCTCAACCCAGCTGTCCATCACATGACACATGGCAAAAATGGGCTCTGCACATGTCCATCTGGATTCAGGGGCACACCCTGGGGTGGGGCGGGGCCTGCCGGTGGAGAACTAGTTCCCCAGGGGATTGGAAATGAACCATCCGAAAAGAACTGGAAAGCAACTCCATCTTTTCTGTCCCCGACTGCTTCAGTCCCCTGGCTCTTCCAATCATCTCTCTTCACGGCCACACTGCCATTTCAGACTCAGCGTTACTCGGTCCCAGTTCCAGAATCTAGTCATTCTGTCCCGGCCGGGTAGCTCAGTTGGTTAGAGCATCATCCCGGTACCTCAAGGTTGAGGGTTCAGTCCCAGTCAGGGCACGCACTGGAGTCAACCAGTGAACGCATGCGTAGGTGGAGCAACAAATCGATGTTGCTCCCCCCTTCTCTAAAAATAAAAAATATATATATCTAGTCATCTCACATCCCTGAGGAACCCTTGGTTCTCCATTTGCCAGGAGTCTAACTAGGACTCAGTAACTCAAGTTACTGAGTCATTACTTCAGTGCCCCGGCTGCTCACACACCCTACTATAAGCTCCTCCTTTTCCCGGTGTGAGCAAACGTAGAAGAGCCCAGCCCTGGGCACGGCAATATCTTACATCAGTATGGATGAGGCCAGGGGCACACGTTGGGAATCTTTGGAAAATGTTAAGTACAAAAATAATAATATTCCGGAAACTATTGATTTCGACAATAACTTTGTTTAGTTAACATGGCTTTATTAGGACTTTCTCATCAAATTACCAATAGTGAACTTAAAGTAAACACATGTATCGGTAGTGTTGTGTTTTTATTTTATTTTTTGTGTTTCAGGCTTTGATTTTGAAAGAGAGAGCTTGTTTTCTTTCCCCAAAGAAGCAACAACGTGCTGGTGCCTCCACCTCCACGTGGCATTTTAACTGAGGAACACGTGGAGGAAGGGGTGAACATTGCAATTACTGCTCAAATTCACAAGATGAAAAAACATAGTTTAAAAATCAACTTTAAGTCAAAATAATGAGTATTGTTAGAGAATCTCTAAATGTTATTGAATATTGGCCAGTAGAGCTTCACTGTCTAAAACAGAAATTGCACCGTATTTTCTTAAGACTAGATCAGTTTCAACTGGCTACTTGTAAGGCTATCATAAATCGCCTTCAGAAGAAACGAAGAGTCCATTGCAGGAACCCACCCACCTCTCCGTTCACACCTCTGTGGAAGAGGTGAACATCCCATTGGTATTCTCATTCGGGTTTTGGGTTTTGGTTTCAACAGTGGGTAACATTCAATCATTAATCTTTGCAATGACTGAACATGAATTAATGGCTGACTGCAAAAGCCAGCACTTACATGGCACTTACTATTTGCCTGGCACTATTCTAAGTGCTACAAACATATCTTAATTCAGTTATTCCTCACGGAACCACCAACCGGTATATACTCTTGTTCCCAGGTGAGAAAATCTGGGAAGATCTGTGCTATTTTCACAATAGCACGTGAAAGAGCCAGGATGCACTCCCAGAAAGCTGGACTCTGAGTCTCGAACACCACACTTTAGTGCCAGAATGAATTACTAAAAACTTCCCCCCATACCCAACCCCCACCAAGGATCCTCCTCTCCAGAAATATGATAGGTTTTCATGAGAAAGGATAAATGAAAATGGTTGAGTACATGAGAAGACACAAAAGGTTTCCAAGTCATTTGCTTAAGATTCCTCAATGAAAAGATTTAGTGGCATGTTCATAGGTATTATTTTATTGTTCTTGCCACTCTAGATTTAGTCACTAACTGACAAAACACCCACTCCCAGCTGCAGTTTCTGGACCCTGAATGATTACCACCTGGAGGTAAGGTTGATGGAACCAAGAACCAGAGATGGACATATGCAGAACACAGGTGCACAATTCCATATGCAATAGGCATGGTCTAATCAGCCAAGCTTTCTGTCACCTCTTTGGTTCTACTAAAGGCTTATGGCATAATGAATGAATGGGTGAAGGGAAGATAAACATGACTTAGCACCCCATACAATAAAGTCTCTTCACCAACTCCTGCCAGTTCCCCATTGCCTGAGGCAAGCAAAGATTTCTCCACCCACTCTTGTGAGCTTTTTTGTGGGGGGCAGTTTGTGGAAGGAACGCTGCCCCATGCCCGCTCGTGTTCTTCTTGCCCATGACAATCTTAGGCATCGTAATTAAAATTTGGCCACATTTCCTTTTCTGAGAATGGAGAGCCTATTTTGTGTTCAAAAATGACCTAATGTTTCATCTTTGACATTTCAGAATAATTTTCAAGGATTTCTATTTAATTCCGGAATCGAAAAGGAAAGAGAACAATCGATTCATTATGCCCTTGCCTTTTCCTGTCCCTTTATCTGAGGGTGGTCTGTTTTCTGAAAATGTAGGGAGAAACAATAATTATTTGTTGGAAGGCTGTATCCAGACCCTAAATTACAAGACATGATTTACAGTCTTGGAGGGTAACAATCTGTCCACCTGTAGATTTGATCTTCTTTACAGAAGATGGACGAGTAGGGGGATTTTTTAGAGTTTAGTTTGTCTTATGTTGCACCCAGTAATTCAAAGCCAGTCGAAGTATTTTCCTGAGTCAGGAGCCTTGAAATGAAAATGCCATAACTGTCAGAGAGACCGATGAGGAAGATCAATACAAATCGCCACAGCTGGGGAGGGGAGGCGGGTATTAATTTAGCATTCTGTGTCTGCAAAAGGCTGGATTTTCCAATACCAGGCTAACACACAGTGTAATAAAATGTAGCGTTAGTGTTGGAATTCCTGGTGTGTGTTGGTGGGGAGGGTGGGGAAGTACGAGGAAGGCTTGTGGTTTTGTTTGTTGCTTAGTGTATCGCCTAGAAAATCATACTAACACCAGGGCCTAAAACATAAGGCAGGACTTAAATCACCCTTCAGGACCAGGTTTCTCATAAGCCATTTATACTGTGTTCATCTTTTCTTTGGTGGGTGGAAGCGTGGCAAAGTATACAAGCTGTTGAATGCCTGGGTAACTTTTATTGTGTATGCAAGGCTGTGTGGAGATATTCTGACACAGCAGGAACTGTGATTTGTCTGTGCATAGATTTACACTGATTTCTTTACAGCAGAATGACAGGTAGGGGACTTTTTTAAAAGATTAGCCTGTCTTATGTTACGCCCAGCAATTCAGAATTTAAACTGAGGTCTGACTTATTCAGCCCCAACACGCTATCTAAATTTCCTTTTTATTGTTAAGTATATGATTATCACAAGGAAGTTTTTTCCTCACCCACCCCCAAAGTAGTTCAAATAACAAACAGCAAGAAATTTAAAAGCACTGATAGTCTCTCCTGCTTTCCTATGCAGCTTTGAACGTGAGCTGTTTACTGGTGAACAAATTACTTGAGGGTCAGAGATGCAGTCTTTTCATGATGTTCTACAAGATAGCCCACTAAATGTGCCTTCTTTTTATAACGCTCTACGACATAGACTCATTCGCTTTGCTATTGTTTCTAAATTGATACGCCCAGTCCATCAGCATCTCACTGGTGAAAGGGCATAGGGACCATGCATGGTGGGTTGCTGCAGAGTTATCGATGGAGGGGTCACTGCATCTGGCTTGTCTTTTTCTCCTCTGCCTAGCAAAAATGACCTAATAGGCCACTGAGTCTCAAAGTCCTTTCATTTTCCGTAGACTTCTGGTAAGGAGGACCCTCTAGCCAAACCAAAATTAGCTGTCAAAAATTCTGCGGTGAAGTGTGAGTCCAGACTTCCAGCAATCAACCAAACATCCATCAGGCAAAAAGATAAAAGCACCATGACCACAAAGAAACCAGAGAACGTGGGCCCCAGCAAACCCTCTGCAGGTGAGTAGCTGCCTTATTAACTTCCACAAACTCAAAAATCCCAGTGTCAACGGTAATGACCAGCATCGAATTGGTGCTGTTGGTTACACCCGGCGCTTTCCAAGTGGCCAATTCAGGTTTTGGAGGGGCCGGCGATCTCATGCAAACAGTAAAATTTACTTAGGAGAATATCGTGGATAATGTAGAGGAACTGTCTCTACTGCCCACATTTTCTGCCCAGTCATTGGCTTTTGTGTGACGCTTGCCTAGAATTACCGCCTTTTCATCTTCTTCACCCTTCTTGGGGGCAGGGGGTGTGGATAAAGGCATTTGGCCCCAGGTATCAAGTTTTATGACTCAAGCAAGAGCATGAAGAGAAGCTTTCATGAGCATCTGAATGGCATAATTTATAGCCAAGAAAGAGAGTAATAAAGTCCTCCACTTCTGAGGTTGTCCTCTCTGGGAGAGAAGGGGCTTGATAAATCCTCCCTTTTGTGCAATTTGGTAAATAAGTCACTCTTTAGCTGCCTTTGAAGCGAAGACCAGTCCACTGCTTAAGGCACGAGTGATTTAATGGTATCCAGAAAGGGGATAAATTCATCGGAAAGTTTAGAGTCCCTCGGGCTCATCCCCATCAGAGCCAACATCTGTGGGCAAACTCCACTCCCCCAGGAACGACGGCGAAGCTGGGGCCACTGGGAGGAAAAGCCAGCCTTCTGCTTGCAGAGCAACAGGAGTGATCCCGATCAACTGCCGGAGAATTCGTAAAGAGTATGCAATTCACTTACTCCCGAGTCACAGCTACATACTTTCTAATCCTGTGTCCTGCAACCCATCCAGTTAAGCCTTAATGCATCTCTAGAAAATGGCAGCTCTCGGATGAACCACACACATTTTATTGCTTTTAATGAAGTAGGAAACAAATTTACTTCTAGAATGATGTCCTTTCAGGCAAAACCCTAACTCTCTTCTCACTTAATGGGGTTGGGGGGGGAGTAGCACCATAATTAATTTCTCATTTTGAAGATTTTAAGTAGGACTTTGGTTTTTAATTCAGCTGTTAAAGAATGAAATAAGGCAGATAAGATCATTCCCCAAATATTTCAAAATACGTGTTGTAATGGATTGAATTGAGGATGTTTTTTAGTGGAAAAAAATTGAATTTAAGTTTAAATAATGCAACTCCATAGCCTTCTTGCTAAAACTCGGTAACTGTTCACATGGTGTGCTTTGTCGTCCACGAAGAAAAACTATAAAATGAACTGGGCAGACTCACTCAGTGACTTCATTTCATCTAATTAATACAGATGTAAATTCTCCTTATGGAACATACAACACTGACAAAGAGGATAAATTAATTCACTTTACATTTTATAAAACAGTGAAGTTGAAGAATTACTAGATTGCAAAGCACCAAAGTTTAGGCAAGACAGCCAAGTTGGCAGAAAGATCAATATCATCAAAGAAAATTTGACGTTACTTGTAATAAGAAGCCTTTAAAAACCACCAGCACCAACATGACACGGTGGCCCCAGACTGCGAACCAGACCATGTGGACGTGAGCCTGATGGTGGCCTGGCCATCCAGCAACTGTAGCAGTCCCGGTGACCAGCCTCGTCGCTACAGAAGCTGAATTCGTTGCACAGCAAACTGAGCTGGTCACAGAGCTGACTGAAAGCACCGCCTCTGTGTCCTAATACCCATTCTACTTACATGTGCAGACCCCCCTTACGGATCCCCTCAGAGTTCCCTCATCAGCATAGCGAAATGGGAGCCCAGAGATGTGGCGAGAATTTAAGCTGAGTCTCTCCAGGAAAACTTGAGTTGGCTGAGGGTGACAACTCAGAAAATTCAGATGAATGCCCTAGTATTACAGAAAAAAAGCGTTTGGGACCTGGATTATCTGGACACATCGACCCCATTCACCAGGTAAATTTGTAGTTTCCTGCTTTTCTGCACCTCTATAGAAAAATTATTTTCCTAATGCATTTTGGGGCAAACACAAAGTTGGCAGTGAGTCACCAGAACTTCTTCCCATGTCAGACCAAAGATTCTTTGCAAAACGAAAGCATCAGACACAGTGAACTCCCTCTGCAACCTCTGTCTCACAGGTTAACCTTCCTCCCAGTGTTACGCCAGACCCGTACCAGATGAAATAATGGAGCTGGCAGTGTGGCTGGACACAGATGCAAACCCCTGCAATGACGACCCGGGTCACAAGAGTTTTTCCTTACATGGGAATTGCCACCCAGAGCCCCTAAAATGGTGACTTACAATACAGGGACTATCCGTGCCCTCTGCGAATAGACTTACAACTGAGAAGGCATCAGATGCTCATTGTACTTCACACTGTTGGAAAGAACTCACGCATTTTAAATTAAGGTCATATATTCCACGGAACTAAATGAGCCAGCTTGCACTGCTCCTTACTCTTTCCGTCCATGCAGAGTTGTGCGGTTTATGGGTGGACAAGTGCTTTGGAGTCAAAATGCCTGGATTAGCCTCTGGGCCCCATTTCTTACTTGTTATGTTCCTTTGGGCGAGTAACTTACCCTACCTCAGTTTCTCATCTATAAAACGGGATCGAACAGATCTCACCTGCTAGGATTGCTGTGAAGAGTAAACGGTAAATTGCGTGCTCAGCCATTAAAATACTGCCTGACACCACAAGCCCTTGTCCAATACACTGCAGCATTGTGGATCTAGCACGTAAGAGCAGCAATCAGTAGAGACAGTGAACTAGAAAACTTTGTTTTCTTTGTATGAATGTTGTCCACCTCCCCCCAATCTTCTTTTCCTTTGCCAAAGATCAGAGTTATAATTTTTTAAATCCTAACAAAAATACAAGTCCAGACACTTTTACCACACCCTGAATTTCCAAAGAAAAACACCAAATGGAAAGAGAGGAATGATCAGAAAGCATTTACCAAGCCAGGGATTCGCTTTATCTCCAAAAAGACATGGAAAATCCAGGCAGGGTCAACACCCAGCTAGGTCTGATGTGCAACTGACTCAGAAATCCTAGCTCATGATCAAGGGTAACACCAATATAGGGTGAGAAAAAGCATAGCTAAATTACACGTTCTGATTTCAGAATTCTGTATGACCAAGTAAGAAGTGGAACAGTCAGCAAGCCCGGCATGTACAGGGGGACAGGGAGTTAGTGGCCTCAGGCTCCCGGACTCCTTCCCTCTCAGCTGCAGTCTGCGTTGGACAGGAGCCACCTCTCCTTTCCAGGACACGCACAGGCTCCGGAGGCCATTGTGCTGTGGGGTTCTGGCTCCTGGAGTCCTTAAGCACGCCCTACCCCAGTGCTGGGCACACGGGAAGTGAGGGTGCCCTGTGCCCTCACCTAGGGTGTGGGCATAGTCCCCTAGTTACGTGCCAGGAAAACGGATCTGGATGGAGAACTGGGAGCCTGCTTCCAAAATCTTGCCCTTTAAAACAAAGCCAAGTGTTCCGAAATTATCCTCACTTATTGAGTTCAATGTTAGTTATTACCCGACTCAGATTTGTAGGAGTGGCAAAACCTATTCAGCTTAATAGTGGCTTATCATGAAGACAAGTTTTTGTAAAACTAAGAAAAAGCAGCGAACTCACATCTATAAAGATAAACATCTAAAATAACTCTTCTCATTTGAATTGGGAAATATCCACTAGAAGAGGAGCTTGGAAGAGAAATTTGAGGCAGATTCCAAATGTCCATAACCTACCTTGCAAATAAATTCTGATGAAGATTTTATCTGAAAGGCCAAGGTCAGCAAGTTCCCAGGCAAGCCCGCTGGCGTCCAACAACTTTCCAAGTTACCTGCCCAAGTCAGAAAACAACCCACACAAGCGGATGCTCCCATTTTCATACAGATTGTCATAATTCACAGCCCATTTATGGTAAAACTTCCAAGGCAGAGGGGCTCGGGGGTGCCACAGAGCCCAGAGCAGGAGGTCCTGGCTCAGAATCGTAAGGCACCACTTCACAGCCCTATAGACGTGAACCGGCAACTTCTCCAAACTCAGTTTCCTCATCGGCAAATGGAGTTATTACCCACCTCACCAGCCAGACAAGGGGGCTAAACTCCTGGGCCTAGACTAGGCTTTGAGTAAAGGTTAATTCTCAACCCCCCTCGGCTTACCTGCCCATATGCTGCTCTCAGGTTAGCATCTTTATAAGAGAGATTACAGTTGGGGATGTAAGAGAGGTTATAACTTGATTAGAAAGCCTTTTAACTATTTGATTATCCATGATGACATCCATTTACCCAGTACCTATGGGATGCTAGCAGGTACACTCAGCCACCCCGCTGTGCCAGGGTGCACAATGCCAGGGTGCACTTGCTTTCTCACCCATTGCTTGTTCACTCACCTCACATGTTCACTGCATGCTCACCTGCCAGCCAGGGCATGGGTGCTGGGAATACAGACACAAAACCCACGGGGCCTGCCTTCCAGGGGCTCACAGCCTAGTCGGGGGCAGGACACCACCATGTCCTGACCAAGGTAAGTTCTAAGAGCTTGCAGTGGGGTGGAAACCCTGAAGGACAGGGGATTTAGCCAGGAGAGGAAGGCAAGAAAGATGTGCCCAGCAGCATATGCTGAGTGTGCAAAGGCAGGGTGGGGACAGAGAGCCAGGAAGAAGGGGAGGGACAGACTAACAGACAGACATCAAGGAACTACAAATCACCTAGGGCCTTGGTCTCCAAGTGTCCCCAGACTGGGAAAAGAGGCACCACATAAGAGCTTCTTAGAAATACAGAAGCCTCATGCCCCAACCCATGTGGCTCAGTTGGTTGGGCGTTGTCCCACAAAGCGAAAGCTCGCTGCACGTGCCTGGTTGCAGGTCTGGTCTCCAGTCATGGCATACATGAGAGGAAACCAATGTTTCTCTCTTGCATTGATGCTTCTCTCCCTCTTTTCCCCTTCCTCCCCTTCTCTCTAAACATAAAAAAAGAAAATAAAAATACAGAACCTTGTGTCCCAGCTCAGACTTACTGAATCAGAACCTGCCTTTAACAAGACCTCTGCAC